CCAGGCCCAGAGTTCAGGCCCCACAACCGGACCCCCCCAAAAAAAAAAGAAAAAGAAAAAAGAAAAAATAATACAGTTCAAATCAAACACTCCACATGTAATCAAATATCTCAATTAATTTTTGAGTATGGCAGAACATAAACATGGTAGTCAATCAAATTTCCTTTGAAGCCATCTAACTCATTACTGCCTGTGAAAACCTCACTTCTGGAACACTGCTAAGGTTTGAATTTGAAATGCCCCAACAGGTGCCATGTATTAAAGGCCTGGTTCCAGCCAATGGCACTATTTCTGAAAGTGGTGGGAACTTTAGGGAGTGCCTAGAAGAAGCAGGACTCTGGAAGTATGTCACTGGATACCCTTCCGGTACTTTTCCTTCTAGTTCCTGTCTGCTTGAGGCGATCAGCCTCCTCCTCCTCTACATGCTCCACACAATGTTCCACTTCACCTGGACCCAGAATCAGAGACAAGCTCTATGGACTGAAATCTCTGAAACCATGATAAAACACTTCTTACCCCCTGTAGTTCAAGTATTCAGTCAGAGCGATAATAAAAATAACAAATATACTCACAAAATGAATTCTCTTGCAAACCTGTCACAACCCTCAAAGTGAACTGCCAATCTTCAAAATACAGCAGCATTAGAGTAGCACTTTCTCTGAAACTTGTACATTGGTTCCAGAAGAACCTTTCTAATTCAGTATGATATCCTCACCAAACTACTTCCTAATCAAGCCATTTACTCTTTATTCTTCCTGCTACAGTCTCAGTTGAAGCCTTGAATGCCTGGGTTACAGAGATTCTCCTGACAGTCTTCCAAGTGGGAGTACAGGTAAACTTTGGTAAATTCTGTGACCAGAAATTATAAGGACTTCAAATTTCTCTTCTTTACCACTCAACTCATCAAAGTAGCTTTGCTACTCTTCAGCTATGCCTCATACGCCAGACCATTCTATAAGAAAGCAATGACCTCTTTGACGTTCCCTGAAACTGCCCTAAAGTTAGATATACTTACTGCAGTGAAATCCATCTTCAATTCGATCACTTTAGTTAAATCAGGAAGTGCTGCTTTTGATTTACCCATAGCTAAAAATACAGTAGCTCTTCGATAGTATGCAATATAGTTATCAGGGTCACCATCTGAAAATTAAAATAATAAATATTAGTTTTCAATAATTTATTCAAAATCAATCACCTGAAGAATTTTAGTTGCCAATCCTATTGAGGCAACAAGGGTTTGGGATATAAGTCAGTGATTTAGCTTACCTATCATGTGCAAAGTCCTAGGTTCAATCCATATTACCACATTTAAGAAAAGAAAGAAAATTTGTGGAGGGGAAGGGGAAAAACAAATCGTTTAAATAGGGATACAGGTGGACCCATTACAGCAATGAGATGTACAAGTCGTTATGTCGAAAACGAACTTTACAATTTTGGTGCGGGGGGGAGGGAGGGAGGGGTTTGGGGGGCCGGCGGGAGGATGGGAAGGGATGGGAAGGGGAAATAAAGGAGGAGGCTACAATGCTTGATAAGAAATGTACTCACTATCTTGCCCATGTAATTGTAACCCCTCTGTACAGTATTTTCACAATAAAAAAAAAAGAAAAGAAAAAAGAAAGGCACTAAGAAAAGAATGCTTTCATCAAAAGTCATGAAGTCTGGGGTATAGTCAGTGTTACATATAGTACATGCTTCACATACACAAAGCCCTAGGTTCATTCCCTATACCCTCAAAACATACACATATAGTATGTATGTATACATATGTATACATATTTATATACATGTCAGTTGAGGTTACTCCAAAATATTACAAATGAATGGGGTCGAATGGAATCATTGCATATGGGTCCAAAAACAATAGTCCTTGAACCAAATCCAAACCACATACTTCAGTTAAGAATGTCTTTTACATGTTTAAAGAAATGTCAAAGAAAGAAAAGAGAAGAGAAAAAAAAAAGAAAAAGAATAAGGAAAACACAGGACTAGATGACTGCAAAGCCTAAAAGATTTACTGCTTTCTCTTTAGGGAAGTTTGCAAACCTCTGGTCTAGAATATTAACCATATTCAACTTTGAACTTTTGTAAATATGCAATTCAGTCTTTCTTTCCAGATGTTTTCTTACACTGTTTAAGAACAGGAACTCTGGGCTGGGAAGGTGGCTCAGTGGTAGAGCGCTTGCCTTGCATGCCTGAGGCCCTGGGTTTGATTCCTCAGCACCA